TACATGTTATAATTGCAAAGATACTGTGTATCAATCATCAATATTTTAATACCAAATTTAAGCATAGTTTATCTTTAACCATAAGTTACAAAATGTATCCTTCCACATTACTGAAGTAAACAACTGAAAATGGATACGACATTACTTGATCTATAACAATATCAAGAATTGACGGATAAATTGGTTGTTATGTAATCTATGTCTGGAGTTAATTGATACATTCAATTCTTTTATTTGCTTGGTCTGAGAATTGACAGAATGTTTTGACTGACTTGCAGTAAACAAATCGTGCAATCAATCAATGGGCGACTTTAAATTACAGAAAATAATCATGAGAAAATGATTATCTGGAAATAATGCATTGGCCAAATATTCTAAAATGTTATATTCCCAAGTATTCTATGTGATGAAAGGCTTCAATATACAAAGTTCTTTTTTGTTTTGTTTTGTTCTTTGTTCTCTTTGTTTTCAACTGCGATGAGTAAAAACAAGGCAATTATTACCGAAAATTAGGTTAGGTAATGATCAATTTCAATCTTTTATCCAGAAACTAGTATGAATGAATGAACTTTTTTAAATGGACATTCAGCTTCTTTTATCTTTTGTAAAAACAATTCTGTGTCGTATCAAATTAAGTACTTCAGCTATTTTATCTTGGGTTCACTTTTCAGACTTCTTCAAAACAGTAGAGCAATTTATAGCACGTATGTGACTTATAGAGAGCGAACCGGAAGATAAGAGGTATCGATGGGTTTCCTTATTGTTTTATATTTTATCGACGGCAAAATTCACCACCTTTTCCAAATTTTTAACCTTAATTATTTTAATTTGACAATTATATGGAACAAAATCTAAAAAATAAATCAGAAAAACTGAAGGCTGCTTTAAACAACACCATTTATTCATTGATTATGCTTTTTTTTCATTTTACACAAGCCGATAAAATTAATTTGTATTCTTTGTTGCAGGAACTAATTAGACACCAGCAATTGAGAAATAAATTTAAAATTGACTCAGAATTATCACGCGAAATTACCTCATAAATTGCACGTGTTAATTACCTTTCTAGTTACTGGCTATAAGGAAGCGAATCGTTTTTAGAGGAAAAAACTTGTAAACATTGTGCGCATTATTAAAAGTTGCATCGTAGTTTGGAGACCTTTCTATGTCACTGTTAAATCGTATGCACATACATACACAGTGCGTTAACTGCAGTGCAGGTATTAGTTACCCGCACAGTGTGTAAGAAATGAAAATATAACATGCTTGTTGATAGGTTTATGTTTTGTGGGGTTTAATTATTGCGACGACAGGGGATTATATAACGATAGAAAAGTCATATTCAGATGCTCGTACATAGGTTATTTGGGGTTTCATATTGTGTAAACAGAGAACGTGTTTTTATTGTTTACCTATGATACGCCCCGCTCGTATAAATCAGATGGCCTCGTGTTTCGATGCTCTTTCTATTACTTATACAATATGTAGGGTATTTAGTTCCACCCATTTGTTTTGTAGCAAATAGGGTACTAATTTAGATTCATTTTAACCCCAAACCGATATATGAAAGGGCTAAGTCTGCAATTCTTTGTAATTTTGTTGTGGTTAATGCTTCCGAGGGATCACTTTGTTCCCAGATTATTTTTTTTACTTTTGTCAAATGATTGTATTCCTACTCTTGACGAAACAGTTGAAATATACTAGAAATAAGCAAAAATATGGAAAACGTAGAAAATGATAGAAACTCTCAAAATTCTATATTTTAGGCTTTTTGATCTCAGTAAAGTTCCTTTAACAAAGAAAATCTGGAAATGAAAAAGGTAAATTATGGTTAAAAAGTTATAGGTGCCAGTTTTGAAAAAAAAATATCTGCGTTCCTTTAAGCCGCTCGCAATAATGTCATGTGTTCTATGCTGGAATAGAAGGGAGAGTAACAATTATGTCCTCGTTACTCTTTATACAAGCGAGTAATTGCTCTCGTGTAAGGAGATGAAATAAAATATACAAAAGTCTGTGCGTGTGTTTTTTGTCGTTTTTTATCCTATACTTTGTACGATATTTTTTTCAAACCTTAAGCTTTCTATGAATAATACATAACATTCAGTTCCATTTGAAAGATTGGGGAGGATATAGCAACAGTCTGTGTTTGTCCGTCCGACCGTACGTGCCACATTTTATGTCCGAGGATGACTTAAAAAGTACTGGGTATTTGAGATATTAACTTGAAAATTTCAATAGTATTTATATTTCATTACGGTTGAGTGCACATGAGTGTTACCTCAATTTTTTATACTATTTTACTATTGTCCTTAATTATTATATTTTTTTTAATTTTCTTATCCGGAGCACAACTGGAAAAGTACGTGAAGCATAAACTTGAAACTTCATACTGTATAGATTATATTCAGAATGAGTGCACCACACTAGAATGATAACGCTATCGTATTATATTATATAATGTTTGTGTAAATGTCCTTTGTTGTTTTCATGCTGAATAAATTTTTCATTTATTTATTTATTAACATATTTATTTAGTTCATGCTTTTTATTATTTATTTATTTATTTATTTATTTATTTATTTATTTATTTATTTATTTATTTATTTATTCATTTATTTTTTGGTCTGAAGCATTACGTGAAAAATATTTTAGATATAAACTTGAAACTACTGGTCTGATACATGTATATTGTTAACGTTTCTGACATTCTGACACGGAAAGGTGGTCAAGCGGTTAAGATGCCTGCAACTCAATAAAAAAAAAGAACCATTTCGACGACATTTCGACATTTATTGTAAAAGTATTCACATAGATGACATCACTATTGTTTAGTCTTGGTAACATGTTTTTATCCAGCTTTGAAACACACACACACACACACGCACGCACGCACGCACGCACGCACACACACACATACACCAAAAAAAACCACATAACAACAACAACACTTCGTATGTACTCGAATCGAGTTTAGTCAAGTGCGCTTAAACTTAATATAGGATTTTAATGATTATATTTTCCCCCTGCTAAATTGTAACACCGACCGGATGATTCATAGGTTCACCTATATTACTAGAAGACATAAAGTTGGCATTAATCCTCCCCTAGAGTAAACTATCAGCAGATAACAATCTTTGGATAGAATATTTCTGGCATAAATATGTATTTTTGAGGCTGCAATTCCATGTTTACCTTACCAGCAATTAATTTCGACACCGTTATGTGCAAGACTGCAATTAATATCTAACGCTGCATGCCTCAAGATGGGCCAAAATATTTCAAGAAAATTAAACTTGAAAAAATGGAAGAGTTGTCATGTTGTACTTAGAAAGTAAAAATATTCAATGTTCCAAGAAATAATTTCATGTTATATATACATGTATACGATTATGTGAACATAACGTTAAGGAGCTTAAATGATTTTTAGATTCAATAACACCCTAAATGTTATGAAATTGTTGGGTCTTCAAAATATGCAGTAGCCATATGTATACACACAGAACGTGAAATTTAAAACAAATCGACAAGGTTGATATTAATCAACATTTAATTTAAATTAATAAAGATATACTTGATTTTATGAAAAGATTGATTCAAATATTTCACATAGCATTGTTTGAGATACAAAACCTGTAACAAATTTTCCAGTTCTTTATCTGTATACAAATACGAAAATAAATGACATATTATTATAACAATATATCATGCAAAATGAACCGAACGGTTCGCAACGTGATCGCAAAAACCGACAATTCAAGGACGAAACGATTAGCTTACATATGCAAATATTAAAAACGGAAAGGTTGAGATACAAAATGAGACGACAACGTGTTAGTCTATTGTCTCATAAATTCCTGAAAATGTATTCTTAATTGCAGATTGCAGGGAATCGCACAACACTTCAATTCAAAAATAAACTTCAAGTTTTTATAAGTTAGACTTCGTTAAATGTAGAAATAGGTTTAAAATTGTTCGTAATAGGATGCCGTTTGAATTATGTTCAGATATACTTTGCTCATTCTTCATCAAAATATTTTAATGACAGATATGTATTGAAATCTATGAATTTTTTACTGAATATGCCTAATTGATAAACAAGTGAACAAACTTTGGATGCGAAGCTGTATTTCTTATAACAGGTCAAGCAATTTTTTTCTTAAAAAAAACCCTGCCATTTTTTGAAAGGACACTATATATTTTGATATCATAATTGAACATAGTATATCTTTAAAAATGTTTGATGTTGCGATAAAAATTGAGGGACCTATCATATATGTATATTACTGTCTAAACTCCAATGTCGACTTTTGTTATTTTATATTATAATAATTTGTCAAGTATATTCGGAACTGAATATAACCATATAACCATGTTTACAAATTACGAAGTAGTATTTACATATGTTGTTATAGTATACAAAGTGTATGTGTATATAACATCTCTCTCCATGATTACATACCATACTGTATACTAATTTTAAAAAATAAATTTCATTGTCGGATATCATTTGTCGAACCATTTACAAACGTGTTATGTTAGATTGTTAATCAACCGTGGGTATCGGGCAATTAGAAAAAGGGAGTTACTGATAAAAATTAGCATTAGCTACATAGACCATGATTGTCACAATCAAACCTGTACTCAAAAGACCAACGGCGAATAAATGCTACAAAACCTGTTTCTTAAAAACACCATTTTACCCTCTTGATCAGTAACGTAAGTTAGAGTAACTACTTGTTATAGGAAAACCTGTCGTAAAAGACAACTTTTTCCTACTGCCAAAAATGCTCTTTTCAGACAGGTTAAGCTGTATTTCCAAACGAAATAATTTTTCTCAACCAATGCAAACATATTAGAGATAACATATGTATTATCATGGAATAAAGATAATATAGAGTAGAAAGTACATTCCCAAATATTTTACATAAAGATAACTTTCAAACGTTTATTTATTCTAAAGAGAGAACTCTATCTAAACTTGAAAATGACGTCATATTTACCTTTGAACCGCGTGACTGTGAGCTCGCGCAACAATCTAGAGATAACATTTTCGTCTGCTTTGCTATTAAATATCTTCTGCTGACGTAGATACACTGAGAATATTCCTAAACTTTTAATAATCTCCGCAGGTAGTCTATTACTCCATTATATTTTAATTAACACACAGAGCACTTATTCATTCCGTGCACACACTTTTCCAAAATGAATTGAAAATATATCAAAACATTTTACTCTGAGGCAAATAAATGTAGAGATATATTCTTTTAATTACCCGTTATTACATATCCAAACCTCGAATCCAATTCATTCGTTGTTTGTCTATACGTGTTATACGAAAAATATTTTAACTATTATTTCTTGAATCGAAATAAAGACCTTTATAGCCCTTTTACAAAAATGTAAACAACAATCACAAAAATGTAACACCAACAAAGACCAAACGTATTTATGTTCAGTCCTGTTATATATCATTAACTATTTCCGCATTCCCTACTAAAGTGTCTTTTTTTTAATAATAATAAGTATAACAATAATATGTTATTACTTTAGTTGTTACGCATATATATATATTCCAAATTGTATGTGTAAAAGTGCAGCATACTCAATACACTTATAGACCAATTAATATAAAGGTAGGCTCTGGTTAACCAGAAAAAAAATAACCTTACATTGTTGTACTAAATTGCTGTCTTGTTCGTTTTACAATTCTGGAATGCTTATTGCCAACTGAGACATCTATCACTATCTTGTTTTTGTGTTACTCGCATTGCATGTTCTGTTTTCTGAGAAAGTTTTCTGATTTCTGTCAGAAAAAGTTCGGTCGTTTTTCCACTTCTGCTATGTTGTTTAGTCCCAGTTACACATTTCTCTCCTTACAATATATTAATTCTCAATATGTGACACATCGATGCCCTTTCTAATACCATTAACTACGCATAATTGTCTTTCTACAGAAAAACATGCATGTCATATCATAATTATGATATCTTTTATATCATATAATGTCTCAGCGTATCATATCATAATTTATCGTATCAAAGCATTTTTTCATATCTTTTCATAATTCATCGTATGTCATACGTTTCACGTAGCAATCATATCGCCTCTAAATTGAATTATATTGAATCATCATAATTATCCTTTCTTTGTTGCCGAATTGTATCATTTAATATCGTATCATATTAAATGCATTGCTTTATATCTTTTCATTTTATATCATTTATATAACATTTAAATACATATCCCACTAATTATTGCTATTTTCGTCAGCTTTATTCAATAACATAACACCATCACAATTTCTGAACTGCATTTTCCTGAGAAATTTCTCTAGAATATGTTTGTGTTACTATTTATTCCATCGTTTCAACTAATTTCATTTGACCAAATCATTTGAAAAATAACTAAACAAACGAATACATTAATCCACCCACGTAAACAAACGTTTATTTACATTTCTCTGATACAATTTAAACGTCTTTAATTCACTTTCCCACACTCTGAAATAGCTTTACACCTATTTCATAACACAGAAAAGTTAAATTTAGAAATTTGATAAGAAATCAATTAGTTTGAAATATCTGCGTCTGGGTGTTTGTGTTGGTATAATGTTCTTTCAAAGGTAAGCATTCCCCAAATTCATACCTGATATGTTTTGCGAAACATTATGCCGAAAGGTAAAATATTCCAGGTGTCTTGCAAGGAGAACGAACATGTTTCTCCATTTTTTTATGTTTAATTTTAATGCTAGTTCACCTGAAGCTATTTTACAATCATTGTTTGCAATAAGATAGTTTTTAATTAGATTATTATGCTAAAGTAAAACAAATTACCATTCTAGTAAACTAGGCATATCCATTACATAACTTGCATTTTTGCATAATTGGTAGCATATTGATTTGAGAGTGGTATAACATTAATACATAATTTTGAATTAGTACAATTGATTAAGTAACTAAGGTGTTTCTCGCCCTATTTTGTATTTTTTTTTGTTTATCGATATTACAATCGGCAACTACTATGCAATCTATTGACATGATTCTTTATTAAACATATTAAGACAGACACACAGACAGACAAAATGTTTACTGACATAATAATATACGTTATAATATATATAATATACAGCTTTTGTCATATATATACACACACATACCAATATGCATGTCAAGTGCTTCAATAAAGAACAGACAATAAGTACATCTTTCCTCAAAAGTAAAATAGATAAATAAATTTCGTTGAGGATGGATCAGCAACTTACATTGTTTTCTTTATAAGACAAATTCAAAGTTTCACAGTCTTAGTAATTTTCAGTACAAATTTTCTTAACATAAAGAAGTTTTGTACGAATGTCGCCAGATTTGCAACAGTAACACAATTATAACACTTCAAGAGCTCTATTAAAGCGGCCTTCAACTTTTATCATTTTATCTACTTATTTATTTATTTATATTATTGTGTGTTTGTTTTTGTTGGAAAAACAATTTCTGTATTGTTAGAAAAAAAGTATTTCAGTAATTTTATCTTGGAAAAGTTTATCTTATTACCGTGAAGCCTTCTTCAAAACAAACATAAAGTTTCACAGTCTTAGTAATTTTCAGTACAAATTTTCTTAACATAAAGAAGTTTTGTACGAATATCGCCAGATTTGCAACAGTGACACAATTATAACTCTTCAATAGCTCTATTAAAGCGGTCTTCAACTTTTATTATTGTATTTATTTATTCACTTATTTAAAAAAGTTGGCGGTCGCTTTTAGCAATGGTGATACATTTTATACACAATTTTTCAATTATACACATTTTCTGAATAGGAAGTGTAAAAGTATTTTTTTGAAAAAAATATTATTAAAACTTAAATATGTATATATTTCTAATTGTGAAAAAATATTTAAAAAATACTGCAGAATATGAATATGAAAAACCTGTTCTTAAAAAGCAACAATTAATCTTAATACGTGAAATTTCCCAAATAGCTGTATCACTTTTGTGTGATATGTAGTAAGCTTTATGGACGTTATTTCACTGATTAATATTTTAATATTTTATTGGTTAGTATATCATAAACCACCTAAATGGGCAGATAAGGAATTTCGTTTCGGTATAAAATCATAATTAACATTCAGCAATATTACTAATTTTCACAGCATAAGAATGAATGGCAGCCGATTGAAGAAATAAATCCTTTAGAACCCTTACGAAGATCGGGACAGAAAATAAAGTGTTTTTTCCGATGTTTACGTGTTTATAAACAAAATTGAAAAAAAAAGAATGTTCCAACATATTTACACAGTTTCTATTTATAAGCACAGAAGAGTTGTAAATAAAGTTTAGATAAAATATTGTATCCATGATCCGAATTTAGAAACTTTTGGATAACAGTTACATAGATACATAGAAATCTATACATAGCAACCACTGGCAAAACGACTACAAAGACTTCTTTGTTTATATACCCAGCAAAATGAACGCCAACAGTAACAAGAACTCTGACAGTTGGAATAAAAATAATACAACCATTCATACTCCCCCTTAGTATAGTCAGTAGCGGTCGTTGATATAAAACTTGTAGTAACAACCCTAGGCGTTGTTGCTGAAACAATTTCTGTCTTAGAGGAGGGTGTCGACGAGGCTAAAGATGGAGATATAGCACTTGTTGGCGAGACTGAAGATGATGTTGAAACTGTTGTCAACAAAACAGAAGATGGTGTTGAAATAGTTGTCGGTAAAAATGACGAGGGTGTTGGAACTATTGTCGAAGAGGTTAAAGATTGTGGTGAAACAGTTGTCGACGAGGTCAAAGATGGTGTTGAAACAAGTGAGGATGAAGTAATTGGAGCAGATGATGATGAAGACAAAACTGGTTGTTTAATAGATGACAAACTTGGCGATAACGTAGTGGTTTGGGACGATGTTATATGTGTTGGCGGTTTACTAGACGTAGATTCCTTGGATAATGACGAAGACGAAGTAGTTGGTGCTTTTGATTGTGACACTGATGAGAATGATGGAAAGTCTGTCACAGCTTCTGGTATACTATCAACACATTTCCCCTGATAGCACTAATGATATAAAAAGAAACAAATCAAATTGATATAATTTTCACGAATATAATATTCAGAAATCATTTTATACAGCAAATCTTTAATTAGCCTAGTGTGATTTTTAGATATACAATGCTCATCTTTAATTGCAAAATTGTTTATTTAAGTCTGGTCAAGTTGACTTGGTCCTTTCGTTAAAAATATTGCCACTTTTTACCTATAAAGAGTTATCAAATATTATCGTTTAGCTTAATATATCTATCTCAAAATGAATAAATATATATCATCCAAATTATTTTGATGAAACATGTTGAAACATTAATTCAAGAAGTACATAATAGTTTCCTGTTGATTTATATATCAAATTTTGATAACCCAAATTGTTTCCTTGTTTATAGTTATCGAATTCAACATATAGCAAAACATTTTTCTGGTGATAAGAAACACTTCATGGTTAACATCCTAAATTGAAAATAACATAATGTCGTTGAATAAAATATTAAATGACACCTAATTACTGAACTAAACTATTTTTTGCTACTGTAACACGGAAGAAATAAATGTTATGGGGTTTGGTGTTGATCTACATGATGAAAAAGACAAAATAGCTATTACCTTTTTAGTTCCCCCACAGTTTGAGCCCGGTAATGGATTCTTGTACTCGCAATATCTCCCATCTTTGGAATAGCAAAGAAGTCCTTTCCAGCAGAGTTGCTCAGCAGTAATTTTCTACAGTTTAAAAGATATAAAAATGATTATGTTCATTAATGTAAACATAATCTATAGTGTAAACAGTGATTTGGTAATGCTTTATTCAGGCAGGCTAATCACTTTAGAGTGAGAGGTGAGTTGTCATACACAAATTGTATGATAGACATAAGCTTTAGAGAAAAAACCGCTTAAAGTTGAAAATTAATGTCAGCTATAAAACATATTCCCCATTGGTCATTGCAGAAAAAGATTCTTAAATAAACGTATCGCTGGTGATTTCATCTCATAGATTATTGACAAAAAAGTACATAATAAAACGTAACACTCTTGTTTTGCTCAAAGATACTTTAGTAAACGTATCATGGGTGATGTTTACTCATGGGTCTTTGGCAAAAATGTACTTAAAGTGACATTGTCCCAATCTATGCGTACAGGGAAAAGTAAAAGAGCTTAACATTTTCTCATTATTGTTTTAATATAATTTCTATATTGTACAATGCAAGCATAATCAATAATACACGTGACTGATGGAAAAGTCCTTCAGAATGAATTTTCTTACATTCAATTAAAAGGAGTGGGGCAGTTTTTTTCACATTTTAGGCAATTTTAATGTTTTATCCTAACAATTTCATGTTTATTTACTTTTTTTGGTCAATGACCATTATAAAAGTAAATCTTTTGTAATACATATCTATTTAAAATCATCTTGACAACGAAAAAGATGGGCATTGTGTCAATTTAAGTAGATGTTTCACCTTTTCAATAGACACATTTACAATCTACAAATGGGTATCTTTAATAAAACATTACTACATAAACTTCCAAACAAAATTTCTATTATTTACTTCAACGGTGATCTGGTCTATGGAGACCTACCTTACTCTGGCATGACCGTGATCCTTTTCCGTTCAAAAACTCACACTGTTCATCCAGAGAATATATTTCCCCAAGATGGGGTGACGTCAGAATTGTATTATACTCGTTGATGTCATAAGAATGACGTTCCAGACAAGTTTTCCCGTCTTGTGTGTGAATGCTGCGGAAAAAAGTTCATACTTGTTAAGCGATTATTTCAACAGGACTCGTTTATATTTGAATGGAACATGTAATGGAAAACATGAACAATATTACATCTATGTTAGAACTGACGTCAAAACTTGCTTCCAACTTCAATATTTATTCATTGCGCAAAAACACGGCACGTTTTATAATATTTTTATGACAGAAAAGTATTTTATATATAATATAAAAAATAAACTTTAATGTTGAGACAATTTAGGATCCAAACTATGCGTTATTACAAAATATATTTAAGGCAACATACTGTTAAACACGGTATAGAAACTAAAGATAAAAGGGAACTGAACTTACGTTGACATTAAGCGTTCCATCACGGAAATGGAACAATTTGAAAACTGCCATGGGTGGTCAGCATCTTCCACCTTGCTAACAAATCCAAGTGTTCCAGCCATAATGTACATTTTGTCATCCGGGCAACTTGTATCTTTGTAGGACTGATCGTGATTAACTCCCATGCTGTAAAATAGAGGATGTTTTTTTGTAATTTAGGATGTTAGCAGAATCTGATTTAAAGATTTAAAAACCAACACTAAAGAAGGTTCAAATGGTGGTCAAAATGCAAGCAAGTAAGAATATGAAGCAAAGCAAATCTGTAGTTTTGTAAACCGTTTTGTCTATAGATAGTACATCAAAGAATGAATAATACAGTCTAACTTGCCCATGCGATCACGTGTATTAAGCGACTTTTGTCTTAAACGACCACTTTAAATTCCCCCCGATCATATTCTCTCTATATCTTTAATGTATTAAGCGACATTTGCTCAACGTGACCAGCGACCGCTAATCAGTCACCTAATTGACATCAATCTTTTCATTAAACGACCACTTTTACCTTTCAAGTAGTTGTGTTTTTAAAGAACGCCACCTTGTTATGTCACAAGTGTCAACAATCAAAACACAACAATAAACGTGTGAAAAACTCTATTTCTCATACCGTTTTAGCGTATGCAAATGGAGACAAGTATACGCGTGACGTGTATTATCCAATAATATCGGATAAACAATGCAACGCTCCGCGCATCCTGAGATGGTGTATACGCTTCGCTTGTTCACATTTAGACTGCATTGAATTGACCTTGAACTTGATCAGCCATTAAATTAATCGTAACAAATAGATGTAGTTTGTTTATTTCAAATGAAAAAATGCACAACAGAAAACATCTTCACTAATAGGGTTTTTGTGTTGGAGACGAGGAAAAACAACGGAGAAGTTAAAAAATTCTGGAAAAAATGTCAAACATGTTCGTAATGGATCAAAACTGTTTTGTCAATAAATATCAGAAAGTTATTTTTTATGCATCCATTTAGATTATCGGAGCGTACTAATATTATTCAACATTTATATAAAAATGAAGTTGAAAAACAATCTCACTGAATAAAATAGATGTCATTTATAAATTTTGACTTTTATATCATGCTGTCTGTCTTAAGAGACCATTTCATTAAGCGACCATTTTGGGTATTTCCCTTGCCCGGTCGCTTAATACACGTTTGACTGTATATTGCTTTGTTTAAGTCATTTGACTTTTTATATACGGGTGTACTGTCAAAAAGTTTCCGTGACAATTTATTTTGGACAAATGAATGTTATGGTTATTTGTCTCACACTGCTGATTCAGAAGTCATGTAGGATTAGGTTTCAGTGATTTGCTGAATCATTTGTAAGTTATCCAGGATAGTCACTTTGGTAGACTGACCGGTAAGATATGACCAAAATGTGTTAAACAGATAAATAAACACACGTATTGCATGACAAAAGCGGTAAGGAGGATGAAGACAAAAATTATCTCGAAGCAAGGCGCTTAAATATTCATAGATCCTTACTTATGAGCCAATTCGTGTGTTGTCGAGGCCGATGCATCACCAGAACGGAACACTTCATTCAAGGAAACTGCATTGCTTGAACATAATCCGGAAACTGGTTGCTTTTCCTTATTTAAAGGAAATCTTGCTATACCTATAATAAATGAATGTTAAGTTTCGTCTTTGGTTTGCTGATTGCATGCAACATTTTCTTCGAACAAACTTACATGTTGACTAGCGGGCGACAAATGAATCGAAGTCTTACTAAGGTAAATTGCTAAAACATTTACAGTAAAGAAAATTGATTAATAATATAAGGGCTTTTGTACCTTGAATAATAATGATGATAGTATTTCGATAAATAATAACAAAAAACTACGATCGATTTATATATGGATGTTGCTGGTAAGTGTGAGATACATAATTCGATAAGACATCTTTTATACAGCGGAATAATAAATTGTCCTTATTGCCTAAATATTATAATTCATCATATAAATGCTCATACTAAAATTACGAAGCAGTCTATCAATATGTTTTTTTCCAAAGAGTATTTTGTTAGAATATTCAAATGATACATTTTTATTGCATTTAACCAACATCAATACTTTCAATATCTAATGGTAACTGCGTCCATGGTAGACCACTTCACTAGAACAACAGTCCATTTTATAAAGGATTATTTGCAATGCACAGTATAAGTTTGAATGATATTGGTTGAATCTTAATTTGAAACAACACAGACCAAGATCCAAATCAGGAATCTCCCGCTGGATTCAAGTTCAAGCGAAATAAGATTTTATTTAAAGCTTTTTAATCTAGAGTTTTCCATACCAACTGTCTGATTCCATGATCTTAGTCCATAGCTCCACATATCTCGTCTGAAATGATAAATATACAAAGGATAATCTGCATGGTTTTAGTAATCTTTTATGCATTGTACACAGTAAACTCCACTTATCGCTTATTATGATATATCGCTTAACACTATGATGTTACCGCGGTCCCGACTCATATTCTCATTTACCAAAATTACATTTGAAACGGAGGAGTCTCCCCGAGGACTCTTCAAAATTTGAAATAGTCTAGTTATAAATTAGATATTTCAGGATTTTATTACACATTCTTTTATAATACATGGTGTAATTAGCTATAGACCAAAAAACAACACTTTATACTATTTTAAAATACTTGATTGTTTCATACCTTGAGAAGCACACGAGTGCGTCTGCATGAAGGTCCCTGTTTACCTTTGCCCAAGTATACAAGTCAGCCAGAGCCTTGTCAGCGTTATAAGCCTCATCACCATTATCGGCCACGTACACTATATTATCTGTTATCCAACTTGCTTTCGATTTATCCTGCAATTAAATTATGTTAACATCTACCTTTTTGGTCTGCTTCATTTTGCTCATAAACATGTGTACATTACCACGCATATTTAAGATCAAAAATCTGATAAGCATTGTATGGAGCTCTTAGAGAAAACAATATTTTAGCATTTTACGTATCAAACTATAGTCAGGTATGTACGAATGTGTAAATAAGATGTATACATTTTGAATAATATCAATGGGACGTTCGAGGCCGAGTGGTTAAGGTCGTTGACTTCAAACCACTTGCTCCGCATTTCTGTGGGTTCGAATCTAGACAGGGACTTTGGATTCGTTCGTGTTAGGAAGCTATTCAGCTAGCTTACGGAACGTCAAAGTCGCCATATGACCTTAACAATGTTGGTGTTACGGTGAACTAAACCAAAAAGTGAAAAGATGCACTTGAAACAATAAATATGTGTACCGTTATAGATATAGGTATGATAAGTTAATGAAAAAGCGTCTCGTAACTAAATTGAAACAATAAATTGTATATTATAATTATTTATTGTCCATGTAACTTTAGAAAGAGAAAATACACGGATATTTTATCATATTTACTTGTATAACTGTTATGATAATAGGGACAACGTCTACACTCATGGTCGGCGTTGATGCGCTAGCGAATCTTAAATCCATCTGTAAACATAGAATGGTGCACATATATCACCAACAGACCAATTAGCTATAATAATTAAGCAAACTATTGTCACTTATTGTACAGGGTGTTTCATAATATCTGTCCTTGAAAAAAATTATTGTGACTTATTGTAAATGATATTTCAATAATTTATACAGCAAGTCCAAGGTAATTAGTTTTTATAAATCTCCCTTACATCATTTTCCTTCATCAACATTGTCCTTAAAGGTAAAACATTTCCACCACATACGTTTCCCAGGATTAATCAGCTATCCTAATTTGTAATTAATTTTATTTTCGTAGCTTTAAAACTTAGATAATAATTATAATGATAAATAAAGCTTCTATTAATTGTTAATCTTTAAACTGAAATATTCACTTTAAGTTTATTGATTTTAACTCTAAAGAAAAGTAGTGTTGTGTGTATATACTATTGTAACTGATTTGTAATATAAAATGTGATGACGTTAATATAAACCGTGCAATATCATATAATTATACGCACCATGTTAGCAATTTGTTCAAAATATTCTTCAATCTTTTCTAATGCTGCGTCTCTATTGTTTGCCATTTTTGAGAGCCAACTGAAGAATAGCAAGTTGTGCAAAGAAACATAATACAGTTTAAAGCCTATAATATAATGACGGAAACAGTGAGTAAGATGTTTATTCATTGGATCTACTTTAACGGTAACATTCTCAACAGCTCAGCAGACAAAAACGGACGGGATACCAACAATAATTTTATTAAAAAAATCTAACAACACAAACAAACTATCACTATTTGTAAAATGAGAAGCTCCCACTAGTTTTATGTTTAAATGTATGGTTAAGTGTAATGGACATTAATTTCTCGAATATATGTAATAACAAACTGAAATATTTATCTAAAACTTGTTCTGCTCAGTTCTGTATAGTGATTGATAAGGTTAAGGTTTGAGGAAATACTGGTTAACTATGAATATAATAAAAAGTTGCTGAATCACATTTCATCACGTACAAATCATAAATATCATCCGCAATAAGCATTTCCAACTCAATTTTATAGTGCTTCTTTGTTGTTTCTCGTTTATATTTTTGTTGGTTATACCACTGTTGTTGATGTTGTTTAGATATTTGTGACAGTATATTAATAAGGTGACTCCTCGGGGAAGCTGAGTTGAATCTCGTTTTGACCCCCTCATCTAAACCTGAAAACAATATGTAAGAATTCTTTACAGAAATTGAAACAAAGTATTGAAAGCACAATGTTATAGAGAATTTGTAAAGAAAAGAAATAAATACAAGGTTAAAGTTTATAAGTAATTCATAATTGAGTCCTTATTTTAGAACGGATGTCTTATTTTTATATGGACTGTTAGAAACTCTTCGCAGACAGACAAAATGGTGTGCATCTTTTAATTACAACATCTCTCCAAACTGAACAAAGCATTCTGTATTGGCTTACCCAGTTTGTATAAATATTTAGAATTATGAACACAAAATGTGATCATATGATATATCTTTGCACAAATGTCGGGCAAAGGATCCTCTTATTTTTCATAATTGATACCCCCCCCCCCCGTCCAAAAAAAAATAGACTAAATAGTGCACGATATACTGTTTGCTATAAATGTAAACATATCATGGTTAATAAACGTGTTGTATATATACGTCCTCTAACAAGATGGCGTAAACCTTTCACACGGGACACATCCGACAGACGTTTGGAAATTTTAGTAAAATGTGGGAGTGGAAGGGTATGCTCTATCGTATAATCGCCAACGCCCCTGTTTATAAAGGCAGTCATATTTTTAGATTTATGTTATATAAGGGATCAGGTAACATAATTTATAAATTCTAACCTGTAACTGCTTTTATTATGTCGTGATCATAAGAGTGTACGTTTCCGCTTGGTGGCACTATATATACGGTGTGTGGAACGCTTGACAGTGTGTGCGCAATGTTCACATCTGGGTCGATTAGGTACTCCAAACCATGATGATAAAAGCTTCCAGCCTATTTAAAGAAGATTGAAATGTTAATGAAGCAAACCATGGCTGATTTGTGTCATGTCGTATTTTCGCTCCGTGGGACGCCGGACAAAAACACGAAAATACGACAATCAGCTTTGGTCGTACATTCGCTCTGTGGGGCTCAAGATGAAAACACGATAATACGACAAAGTAACCATTTTGTCGGGTTTTTTTTTCTCGTGATTTCGCCTTTGCTTTGTTTGGCGCGAGACGAAAGCACGAACAAAAAGACCAAGTCAAGACGTATTTATTTTGGAATTTTCGTGTTTTTGTCTTGCACCCGCAATGCAAAATGACACAAATTAGACGCAGTAAAGATAAACATGTATATTTAAAAAACAGTTCATATTCCAAAAAAATTAATGAAACTGATAAAACTTTGTTAAGATTTAGATTTATTTCGATTCTGAGCTGCAAAATATTCTGCTTAATTCCTACCAATTTGAAAATATCTGACAATGTTTTAAAGTTTTTATATGAGAAAAATGTGTGAACTAAAGAAAGGAAAAAGAAACAAAATAAAAACTGTTTAATCTTAAAGTAAATAAGTTTACATAAACGATAACTTGGCTTGCGCAATTCCTTTAAAGCAGATATTAATGAATATGTTACTAGAATATCTTAGTATTACGTATTTATATTATGGACAAACGAACTATTAAATTTCCGCAATATTTACACAACTTACAATATAGCATGGACTTCTGAAATGCTCACACCTCACCATAATAGCAGCTCCATGGCCATCCCCTACCACCTGATAAAATCTGTAGTCCTGTAAAAATTAAAGACCCTGTAACGCATGTTATGGTTTTATATCATAAATCTTTTGCTCAAATGAAAATTTATTAAATCAGAAGTTAAAAAAAAACATTATTTGTAAAGATATTACCAACAGTGAACATTTCATGTAAATAATGGGAATTTATAAGAAATTTATTTTTATTTTTAGTTAATAATGAATGCATTAATTGCAAAGTTTAATTATAATGTTTATAAACATTTACTTTACATATTTAACATATTATTAGATGATGGAAATTGTTTTAGAAGAATACTTATATACATATATACAGCATCAGTTAATTGTACGTTACATCCTTAATTACAACTTACAGGATTTTGATATGCCAAAGAAATTAGTGCTTCTAACATTTAACCATCGCATCGTAAGCAGGCATTTACTTATTTAAACGTAGTGGCGGGCTATTTTGATTTTTGAACTTAAAAAACGATTTATAAACGATTTATAAAGCTAACACTTGGTACTGTTGCCACTTTGGACGGTCACTTTTTATGTTCCTTTTCGTAGTAAACGTTGGGGTTTTTAAACCTGATAGAGTTATATCGCGTCGCAATCTGTTGTATTTCCCTTACTGTAATTCCTGTAATTACTATATAACCTATAGAGAGTCAACACTTTGCAAATTGAAAGTATAAATAAATAAATGTGCCAGCTGTTGGTTGATAAAATTATATTTGTTTATTTATATATATGTATCATCTTTAATCTAGATACTACATTTTATCACAGTGCTTTAGGCAGTCACTCTTCACCCTGTTAACAAATATATCTTTATTGACCATGTCTTTTCTTACCTTCCTGATTTATATATATACTGATAACAAGAGTACGGTGAAAAGGTCAACTACAATCAGATATAGCGACGCGATCAGCTTCAATAATGTCAATAGTTGATTTGCTTCTGTTGTTGCCTCGGACTATTTCATATTTACAGTGTTCAGTTTAAACAATACTTTATTCTAATTAAACATATCTACGCAATATAATTACAATCAAATGTAAAAAGGATTGAGTAGAAAGCTACAAGCTTTTTTTAGAAACTCTGTCCTTAATTATGTGCAGTATTTATACATAAATATGTAAGATTTATACATGTATATGAGAATTTAACTTCAACAGAAAATTTGTTCTATGGTACCATATTTTTGTTGTCTTTTTTAAACAAAGTTTTGCCAGGTCTCTAAAGTATATTTCCACTTGAAACATATGCCAGTTTATCTACGTTTCAAATAAAATGTGAAATCTTACTTTACCTTGTAATCATGCAAGATGAAAAAAGTAAGAGTTGCATAGTGTAAACTGTCATTCTTTAATGGAAGGATTAAATTATAGATTACCTTTGGTTTTGTACTGTCAAAAAACTCCGTTCCAGCTTCTGTCAACACCTTGACTAACACTTTGCCAATTTGTCGCTTGTTTAATTCAACATGCAGTGAAATGACATCACCATTTGCAAGTGTAACGTCAAAGTTCATAAACTCTGTAAATATGTTGTAACGCCCCTCGTCTGAACTCCGTCCTGTCCTGCCATGTTCATTGCTTATATGCGTAACGGTAGCTTCTGAAATGTAATGGTGATCAAAGTTGGTGTATCTTGCTATCTGTATTTTTCTGCCAAAATAGACTATATACAAGGTCATTCAAAGCAACAATTTTGATATATAATGTTTTCCCTCCCAAAGTACTGCAAGCGACTATTCAATATACTGTACAATAACGCTTAATTCATTATTCAAACGAAGCGCTATTGTAAGAATGAATTTCATATAGTCAATTAATGGTTTCTGTGATTCATTAACATTAAAACGCGATAAAAAAGGAAAAGTGAAAAACATCAAACTACAGAGATAAATAGAAAATGTCACTACAAGTATATTTTACAATATTTCACTTCAATAAGATTAGCACTTACTTTTTCCATTTTGAAGATGAGAGTAGTATTGTCCAGCATCCGCATAAAATATATACAATGATAAAAATAAAGCTAGCATTACAAACCAATCCAACTATTAATAAAAATAAATAAGCAATCAAGTACTACAGTTAAATCACTTTATACTTTTTAGCGATTATTATTATTCTGTTTTATTCTTTTGTTCTGTTTTTCGTTAAATTCTTTTCTTCACTTTTATCAATAGCTAAGTCACGCTATATTTAACTTTTGGAGCAACTCAGTCTTAAATAATATGCTTTTCTGCCTTGAAAACAAACTAAGTAGCTTTAATTCACAATTCACAATTTTTAATAAAAAATATCGCCTTATTTACATCAACCGATGAATTTGTCCGTGTACTACAAATGAAATAGTATCATTTATGGTGTATTTTTACTAGTTAGTGCTATCCATTCATGCATCATTTGTCAATACATAACAAAAGAGTGGTGGTAAAAATCACACCCGGAGTTATACCATAGGATAGGTAAAATTAACGAGGAGGACTAACGTAGATTTTATCAACAATAAAACGATATAAAAATGTATTTATTTTCATGTACTTTTATCTAAACTCTTATCTGACTCATGAAAATTAATATCTTAAATTGAAATACCAAAAGAGGAATAGAATGTAAATAAGATGCTTAATAATTGAATCATAACATGCCCTTATATGACCCTGCCAAATGTTTGACTCACAGTATTGCTTACGGCATTTAACCGTTACCAATAAGGTTGTCTTTTAATTCTAAGTTTAAAAAGAAACGTTAGCATAGTGGTCAATGCATCTGCGTCTCAACCAAGGGATCGTGTGTTCGAGTCCATGTAAGGTTCACAACAATGATTGTCAAATGCCACCAGTTTTGGTTAGTTCACTGATGTGGATCCAAGAGTGGTTCAAATAATATATGACCTTTCTTCACAAAAGATCATAAAATTTATGTTAAACTTATACTGACTTAAATATTCTGAATGTTTTAATTGAGGTTGCATACTACACTTAAGTGAAATTATATATATGTATATATTATTATGCTTATAAAACAATTTTCAAACATCGAAGAAAATGTAAAATATGTACTGCATATATTTGTACACATTATATGTAATCATTAAAAAATATGCATTAATTTCTTATTGAAAAATTTGTCTTAGATTTTATAGAAAATAATTTTTTTATTACATCCCTTTATTTACATGAAATGTTAAATTCGGTAATATCTTTACTAATAATGCTTTTTGGAACTTACAAAATTGATAAATCATAATTTGAGCATCATATTTATGATATAAAACCATAAAAAATGTGTTACAGGATCTTTAAAAAGACAATTTGACCATCTGAGTGTAACAGTAAATGGTGAGAGTACAGGTAAGTAAAACATACTTTTCATTTTGCCAAAATTGTTTTAAATTTTGTATTCTTCTTCGCAATAATAATTAATAGCCCACGGGACTCTAAAAATATCCTTCAGAATGCTTCTGTAAAGTTCAATTGATAAACAACGGGTTGTCTGTTTATATATTTTATGAAGTGTTTTATATTTTATCCTCATCATTTTTGTAATGACTTTTTGGTCATCGGGCATTAAAGAAGTCAATCTTTTGAAATATGCATGTATATGTATGACTAATAAAGCTTGTCCCGACAACGATTAATGTATAACTAATTAAGCTTGATCCGACAGCTATAATAAGAGTATTATGATGCTTTAATAACAGTACATTACTGAATATTCTAGTGTCCGATTTCTGCGGCATTCACTTTAATTTAATATCACAATCACAATAACATTGAAATGGCCTCTTACGCATTTAAACTCGTTAATTTGACCTCATCAAGTCCCTCATATTATGCCAAGCAACGTTTGAAAACGCTCTTACGATTTGTTTTATTTTTGATAAAATATTATGTAAATATTTGGGACATGATTATCATAACTATACGTTTGGATACAGTCAGCATGGTTTGATAGTTGAGATATATAGTTTTCCCCACAAATAGGATAGCGTGGCCAGATACCCGCATAACA